TCGTGTTACCGGTCGCGAAACTACTATTGCGATAAAATCAAACGTGGCAGTGTTAAAAACTTCCCAGTTATTGGTTAAGAGTAGAAACGATTAATTGGAGGAGAACCAATATTGAATACAGGTTGTTTCTGAAAAATTTTTTCAGAATAATTATCGAATGGAACAAGTAATTAGATGACTGAATTAATCACATATATTATAAATATTAATTGATTCATAATAATTACTTTCCAGTTTGGCAAGTTATAAGTTGCGTATTGATTTTTTATTCACGATAGAATTTCTCTTAAAAACTATAAACAATATCAATCTTTATTGTATTATATTCGTTGCTGTTTGTAAACAAGAAAATAATTATTTCTCTTTTCACTTTCTCAATATAGAATTTCGGAATCGTGAACAATATGGTACGACCATAAATTCAATCCGGACATAACCTACATAATATTTCTTTCATCGTTTTATCACTATCGTCGGAAGAAAAATCGTCGATTTCTCAAGTTCATGTATACTTTCTCGTTAGAAACAGGACTTTAAACGAGTTTAGGATGACCTAGATCAATAGATGGACATTGTAAGTCTATAGGACCGAGGATTCGAGTCGATTCGAAACGTGGAACGAAACCGTATAGTCGCAAGTACTTACATCTCAATTTAAGGGCAATTGTGCTAACAGTCCGAACGCTCTCAATCAATTGTGGGCGTTCGCTTCGTTAACGAACGAATGAACGAACAAACTCACGGCCAAACTCTGTATTTTATTCTGTGTATCTTCTCCATTGTCAGACGTACGACTTCCTTTTCCGGTCTTGGTTTTACGATCGTATTATTAGAATTGCACCGCTTAATCGTTATTTCTTATGTGCTAATGATAAATATGCCATCTCGTAAAAAGTCGATTAATCAATATCTCGAGATATTAATTATTTGTTGCGATATATCAATGATTATGCGATGATAATTAAGATAAGAAATGAAATTTTGATAAATGCCTTTTTATAAAAATTTATTTATTTGAACAGAAAATACTGTTCATATTGAATTATTAAATCGATCAGAGGAGATAAAAAAAATTATCTTTATTTATTTATTAATTATTTATTATTTATTTATTAATTAATTGCATTTTATTTAATCGCATCAATCTATTTCTACTTGCAATTGTACTTTTCTTTTTTTATTTATTTTCCATTGCTCTAAATTTTATGCTTATTTGATTACTATTTATTGCTCACTTCAAATAATTCAATTAAACAATTATGTTGACAAAATTACATGGATTGAATGATCGTGTATACTCGTCAAATTTATTCAATGCTGACGTGTACACAGTGATTGTAGAAACTAGACCGGATTATGACTGTTTCCTAAAGGAAGATGGTAAAAATTGATAGAACTATTTTATGCTTGAACTGAATTCACTCGTATATCTAATCGAATTTTTTTTTTAAACGCATCAGTGCATCCGCACTTTCTTTTTCCTCTCTTAAATTGTAATCGCATAGATTGACGCATGTGTTCAAGAAGGAAAATGTTTGAAATTCGAACTTTGAATAGAATTTATTTTCTTATTGTATCTATTTAAAGAACGATAACATCATTTTATTATCATAAAGCATACATTCTGGAGAATGCGCATTTTAAAGAACGGAAAACAAATTAGTATATATTTATGTATTTATTTGTGCAATTAATTTAAAAATATATAAAATTGTTTAAACGAATTACGATACCACGTTTATTTTGTTTAAAGTTTTTCTTTAAATTCTATAAAATATAAAATATTCAAGCATAGTAGAAAATTATGAAAATTTTATCAAATCGTAATTTCTTTTTTTTTTTTTTTTGTTTATTTTCGTTTATTTGCAAATATAGGAGAAAAGAAAAATTACAATTCATTTAAATATACTTTCGTGCTATGTTTAAATTTTAATAATAAAAACTTAAAATGTTTATAGAGTCCAATTTGTTATATAAAAAAAAATTTATTTAATTTTTTTAATTCAAGTTCTCTTTATTAGCAAGTTATGTAATATTATTGGCCTGATAACACGTTTTCGTTCATATTCGTTTATTTTCTTTCCAAGCAGTTCATTTGCAGTACTATTATTGCTTTATCAATAACTGACCAGCACTATGTTAACAAATGTAACACATATTACACATATAAGTAGGAATAATATAATTTAATGAAAGATTATTTGAATTTAAAGAATAATCTCAAGTGTTACAAATAATCATTATTTATTAATATATCAAATTTGTAAAACTCATTAATATTTAAAAAATGATAATATATTTTGTATTCTTACGTGTAATAATTCTTAAATTTTATAAAATATCTCATCAAAAAGAATATATAAAAAATATAATTAAAAAATATAAAAAAAAAAATGGAAAATTTTTAGGTTAGGGCAGTACAAAATTTATTTTCTTTAAAAACAAAAAAAATCTATCTATTCTATCGACTTTCTTGAATAAATTTGACATGATACAAATATCTAAATAATATTTTTATCTTATTTTGATTATTTCTGGCGTGTTTGAAATTAAACATGTTAAAAAACATTCCCTATATATTATAATAATAACTATCTTATAACAATTCATTTCGACACTGTCATCTTACAAACGACCTATTAAGGTCATCTCTTAGCGGCAATTTTAAAAATAATCCTTTGCGTGGCCATCACGCTATGAGAACGTTGTTGTTGATCGTGTTCTTTGAGAACTTTCACGCACAACGTGCAACCGTTATCTGTTGTAACCTATCAGGGCCCGATAATTGCAAAGCTTGCATAAAACTTGCAACACCGGCAACTTATCGTTTACCAGAGCGATAGAGTAAGAGAGATATAGATTCATGGTTGCATTCTATTAACGGAATCCTTTCTGAGGTTATAACGGGAGTATAGAGGAGCTAGAATTTTTATGCCACTGCGCTTTCAATTTTCTCGCACATGATGCGAAATAGACCTTTGTACGCTTTGCTGATCGTAAAACAATACATCGAAATGTTAATACATATTTAGTTAGGAAAGTGTATTCGTTTCCCTTTGATATCATTCACGAGAATACAATAGCAAAAAGTATATTGGATATTTTAGTATATTTGAGGTATACATTGTGTAAGTTATACATATTGTGTAGGAAAAACAGTGAGAGACAGTGCAGAATCTCAGAAATATTTAATCTTATAAATAAAATATTATATTATGAAATTATAAACAAAATTTGCTGATAATCAACATAAATATATATATTCTTAATTAATTATGATTATGATAAAATATGTTTTCTCTATCTTTTGAAAAATTTTAACTAAAAATTTGATTGTTTTAAATAATTGTTTAAAATAACGTGATTATAGCAATAAAAAATATTATAATAATATTTTATATAAAAAAATAAATAAAAGTAGTTGTATAGAAGTAATATGTATATTATATATATATAAGTGAAAATATTTTTTTAAAATATTGAAAATAGTTAGATTGAAGATTGTTATGATCTAGTTATCTTGTACGGATATAATATTATAATTTTTAATATCAAAAAATTTATATTACTTTCAATTTAATTAATATAATTCCACTTTAAAATGAAAATTATATTTAAAGATTACAAATAAACGATGGCTAAAAATCTATTGCAAAAATAAGAGATTTCTATATTTTCTATTTAAATATCCAATAACAAATTCGTGTTTTTATCCCTATTTATATAAACTGGGTCATATAAGATATAGCGGTGATAATTCTGAAAATATGAATGATGTGATATTATCTAATATTAGAAAATATGAACTATATATTTCAATATTTTGAATATATATATATTTATATAAAACTATGTTTCACTTTTTTGCATATTGAAAGTGCTTGCCTCAAATAATAAAGAGTAGAATATTATGCATAAAATCATATTATGTATATCTATATGAATTATTTCATGAAATAATTGATATAAATTATCGTAATTTATATTATATTATTATTACAATATTAATTCATAATTCTTTGTTGTGATATATGAAAATTTATATGAAAATTTTATTATCTATATTTAATAATATGATTATGTAGTGAATTATTAATTTGTATTAACTTCTGTTTCTTAATATGTACAATTGATCCATTTGAATTATTAAATAATTTAAAATACATATTAATTAATAATATATTGATTGAAGAACTCTGTAATTCTTTTTCGAAAAATCATATTTTTTGAAAAAATACAAAAATTTTGGAAAGAAATATTAAAAGAAATGTTTTCATGAAATTGCAAAGTAGTGCAGATAAAAATTGTACAAATAGAGAGTAAATAAAAGAATATATATTAACATTTTAAGTATTAATTGGTATATTACAATTAAAATATTTCTTATACAGAGGATATGTAAAAAAAAATATAAAATATTTTTTTGCAACTATGATATAAAAATGAAGTTTCATTTAAAAAACAATTATAATTACACTATAATTATATATATGATATATTTAAATATAACATTTGTTGAAACGTTTTATTTTTCACAATTCTTTTATTTTTTTATCAATCTTTATAATTATTTATAATAATAATGATTATTTAATTCATCGTAATTACAATCATTCTGACTAGATTTAACTATATATAACTATCATCTTTTATATCAAAAATATCGAATATATTTGTATTCTTTGATTCATTTCTATACGTTTATTCCCACAAAGCAATGTTTTCGTTAGATATTTTATCATTCTATTACGTAACATTATTACATTTTCCAATAATCCGTTCATGACACGCATTTATCTTATATCATCGTCACGAGATGGCGCTCGATTTTTTGCCAATCCATCGTTGCAATGAATAGCTCAATATCACGATTAGATTCTCTACTATACATACATATAGTCTCTCTCGTGCTTTCTTTGCCTGTACTGTCCACTCTATCATCCCTAATGTCATTCAGAATGCATAGTATATAGTTATCGACTAATATCAATGAAATCTAGATGCAAGTTCGCCATTCGAAGCCAAGGAATGTCAAAGATCCCAGCGAGCGGTTCATATGCGAGCAGCGTGTTTCAAGAGTTACCAAGAATTGTAATCGAATTATGGTTAGCTCATTGATTGCAGTTATTCAATAATAATTTGAGAAAAAAATACGTGTGTATTCGTGATTTGATAAAAATACGAATTTATTTCACGCGCGCGCACGTGTGTATATAATATAAACACAAGAAAACGAAAAAAGGACGCGATAAAAACGGACAAAAGGAATAGTGATTTGTGAACACGAGGAATAATCGACGGTGGACCAGAGAGAGTGGTGGACAGTTGGAACGGGGAAAAATGTTCAAGCTAGCTGGACGACAGGAATGGGAGGCTTTGACGAAAGGTAAATGGCGTTGCCGTTTACAAAACGTTTTTAAACAATTATTCTATACGTGTACCCCTACCCTTTTACATGAGACAGGTTTATAACTATTGAAAAGATGTTTAAAGGTTAAAAACATACGTGTAAGATTCGTTTTATAAGAGAATAAAATCTTGCATGAATATTGCCTTCTCATGTGAGAATTTGTAACAGATCCTGGCATGATATATGATATTCGTGAATAAAGTTTAGTTAATGTTTTTAAAATGTTTTTAATTTAATGTTTTTGATCAGTGTTTTTTAAAGATCTTTAATCTGAGTTGTTATGATTTATTTTTTGTTTTTGAATAAAATCTGAATAATTTTGAACAATCAGTTGATTTTTGAACAGTACCATGTTCGGCTTGTTTTAACACAAGTAATCTCTTTTGTACAGTTGCACTACAATTTTTCGATACGCTCTGTGAAAATTCGAAATAACAGGCGGCATAGAGAAAGTTTGTAAATTTAACGTTCTCATTTATGCTACAATAAATATTTTTTTCACGAATACACTTACAGTCTTTTATAAGTTATGTTTCTGTAACTTAAATCGATACTTGCTGCTTTTAATTAATTATCATTTAATTTTTGAACTGAATTAAAAATAATATGAAATTTAATTTATATTTTTATTCAATGTCGATTATTTTTCTTATATATTGTTTTAAATTTTCAATTTATTTGATTATATTAATAAATTTCATTCAAATTTAATCTATAGTCGATAGATATCTATTATACATCTAGTCAATATTTATAATCAATATATTTATTGATAAATTAATCTATTGATTAATATTATAGATTAATATTATAGATATATTATAGATAATAATTCAAAATGAAAACAATGATATCATAAAAATATCTATTTTTATAGATAATAGTAAAAGATATTAAATTCTGAAGATTCCATGTTCTATAAAATCTTTGTCTATAAAATAATTTATTTTTTATGTAAAACTTATCATAAATACTTTTATGATTAATTCAAAAAATATACAATTTATAAACGAGCTATATTATTATCAATAAAATATTAATTAAAATAATTCAACATTATAATAATTATTATTCTGTTTTTAATAGAATGAAAATTTTAATATATTTATATTTATATAAAAGTATACAAGATATAACTACATTTAATTCATTTAAAATTTATATATTTTATATTCATAACTATTATTTTTTAATAATTACTTTAAAAGTCAACTTCTTTTTATTTTCTAATATTTTTTTATCATTGCGTTTATGAAAGAAAATATATATACAGTATACTAGATAAAAATGGGAAGTGATCATAACGTCGCATGGGTCATGGGTGACCTACAATACGATAAATCTTATTTCACATGTGCATCGCACATGTTAATTATATGTCAGAAGCACGACGAAGTGCTTCATTCCACGACTGCTGTCCAGATTGGATCAAGTTTATTTTGTATTTGTAAATATGAATCGATTTCAATTTTCATTTTACAGAAATTATTGATTTATATGCAAAAAATTCGACCTAAATGATTTAATTTGAAATCTCAAATTTATGCAAGTTTTGAAAAATGTTCCAATTATTTGTAATAAAATAAATTTAAAAGAGTAAAATATTTTTATTTGCAAGAATAATTTCATTTGTAAAAATAATTTCAATTTATTAAAAAAAAAGAAAAACATGAAAAATAGTACAAAAATATATAGAAAATATATTTAGTATAAAAATACGCAGCGTGAAAATAAAGTTATCAAAGTGATTCCATTGAAATCACACAATAAGCGTTACAGTCACTTGTTATACAATTCTATCGATATTACTTCTCTTGTCAATTCATATGAGCTTTCAAGCAGTCATATAATGGATCCTGTTACGTCCTTCGAACGATTGTCAATTTTATCCGTGTATTTCTACCAATAACAAGTTTTTAAAGGAACAATATGGAAAAAATATATATTTTTAAATATAATTAATATTTTATATTCATTTTATACAAATTTTAAACAATTTAATTAAAAAAATAAATATGTATATTTTTTGATTTTTAAAGTCTATGAAAAAAATATCTTGAATACGAATATTCTATCTATTCCTTTTATATATCTCACAATTAGCTATTTCATGCGATACGAATGAAATATTTTAATGCGTATTTTCATTATATCATGAAATATGAGAAATTTAACATGAGAAAGATTTTGTTTAACTTAATTTTCTATATCTTTTTCTAAACAATTTTTTAAATTCGTATCTTTTTTTTTAACTCATATAAATCAATATAACCTCTTCATTCATACAACTCTACTTATTTAAAACTCTACTTATTTAAAAGATATTATAAATACGGGATATTATACGATATAATTTTCATCAAAAACATTAATAAATTAATTTTATATCTGTTATGATGATTTATTCCATTCTCTGTACTTTTGAAACGATAAAAATATCATACTATGTACATGAAAAAAATTAAAAGTTTCTATGATCACGAATGCAGGACGCAGCTCGTTAGAATGCGCCCTCTACAGATTATAATTATTATTAAACTCGATTATGTAACATATGTCGATAATCATATAGAACATAGAAAGTTCAAACAACTATTATTAAAATAGATATAATTTGAAGTAAAGATGTCAATATTTCTGTTTCTCTTACTATAATGGATTTTTAATAATATAAAATATATTAAAGTTAAAAATAAATCTTGTTCGCCAACTAGAATTATAAAAATCTTGTATAAGATAGGTATGAAAAGAAAGAACAGATTAAAAGATCCTTTTAATAAATCTATATAACCTCATTTTCTAAAACATTTTCTAAACATTTTCTTTTTGATATTTCTTCAAATAAAATTCAGACATAGAAAATTCTTGGAATATATATTGCTCTTATTCAATATTACATATATAAATTCTTATCTCTCGTCTAGTGATGTCATCAACCTGTAACTATGCAGATCTCTTTGTTCTGAAGATTTGGTGTCGTTTTTCAGTTGCGCGTATAACCTAATTTCACTTGCCAGTATATGGTCAAATATTCTTAAACGTTTAAGATGATTATAGAGAATTTTATTTTATGAATATAAAATATATTTCATTTTAATCTTATCTTTCTCAGGATTTTCTCTCTTTTCGTTAATATCTAATTACTCATCTAATTTAATTATAAATTATCATTAACGAATTAATATATTATCATTGAATTTATCCAAATGATCAATACAATAATCAAAAATCTATCATAATCGAGATGGAAAAAATTAATTCTTTAATTAAATATTAATTAAATTTTATCGTTACTTTTGAACCACCCGATACAACATAGTGCGTTTATTTACGTTCTTAGGGGCGTAGGTCGTCGATTCATGCCATTCCTACCCTTAATGGTGGAGGGGTCGAAAGTCTCGTGGCCACTTGGGGAATGAATCACACCAGAGAAAAATCGATACGTCCCACGTTTTTGTATGGAGTGAAAAAAAAAAAAATTATTAAGCAACTTTTGTATGGGAAGACTTAAAGATCAACAAGAAAACAGTTTCTTTCCTTTTTCTCTCCCTCTTTTTATATTACTTTCTTGGAACCAGAGTCGGCACCATATGTGATTGCACATAGTAGCTTCCCCTGTTTTAATGAGACACTACTATCGGGTTTCGTACAACTTCCTAAAAGCATTCAACAGTTTCAGGAATTATATTTTTTGTCCCCCAATATGTATCTTCTCAGAAAAATTGTATAAATTAAAAGTTAGAGGAACATTTTTCTTTTTAAAGTTTGTTTCACAAAATTTTGAAATATTTTTTGTATCTTATTTTAATTCAAATTAAAAAATAAAATGAAGATATTATGTGTATTTAATTTCTGATATTTTATAATACAATTTTTATTTTTTATATTTTAAATTTTTTAAATTTGAAAAATATAAATTTATAAGTGTAATTTATTTTATTTTATATTATATAATGTAGATTACAAAGTTTATTTTGTTTTAAAAATGTACATAATATTTATCCTTGGTATTTAATTGCAATTATTAAAGTAGTTTAAATATCAGTATAACATAACAATTGTAAATTCAATTCGAAGTGATCTTTAAGAAATTAAAATAGAAAAATATGGAATATATTTATTTTCAATTCTTTAATATTTTTCTATTTTTATTTTTTAAAAATATTTTTGTAAATTTGTAATTTTATTTTAACAACAATAAAATTTCAATAGGATTAAGAATCAATATTCATATAATAAATATTTTCTATTTATAATAATATTTTTGGAAAATTTGAGAATTGTCGATTTAAATATGTAATATATAAGATATATATAAAATATAATGAAATATCAGTCTATTAAACTCTTAAAAATTGTATTTTATAAATATTTGAATGATATTATAAACATTTGACTTAATAATTAACATGTTGAATCATATGGTAAAAAAGTTAAGAACCCTTTGAATTAGCAAATACTTTTTTGAATCTGTATATAGAATCTAATCCAACCTATAAATTGGAAAAATATTGATAAATTAATGTTGTTAAATTAATATTATTATTTTTACATTTATTATTCCTAAAAAAAAAATGTAGGATAAAATATGTAAAAAAGCAGAGCACGATCGAATCGAGACTGGTTCCTCGATAATAAATGCGTTCGTAACACGAAACGCGATTTGCGATGAATCGAATGGTCGGTCGATCGATCGATTGATTAACGAAAAACGAACCTAACCTAATGAGTCAATAGAAAATTTTTATCTGGCATCTTTATCCTGTTTTCAGACATACGATTGCAGCTGAACGAACAGCTGAGATGTCTCGACATCCGGATGGAGGCCCAAGTCGCCATCGTGGCGGAGCTTCAGGATTTTTTTCGAAAGAGAGCCGAGCTCGAGCTCGATTACAGCAAGTCTCTCGACAAGTTGGCCAGAAGCATACAGCTCAGACACAAGGAGCAAAAGCAAAAGTACGTATTTATTCTGTATCTTTATTCTTTATTTTATTCTTTATTTTTTTCTTTCTTTTTTTTTTTAAATTCGTAATCAATAATCATGATCATCTTTTTTCAAAATTTTAAATTCCATGATCTGATCTTCAACTTATGAACTTATTTATTAATTTTAAAAATAAATTCTCAAACTTAAGAAAATTTATAAACAGAGAAAAACAATTAATATAATTAATATATACAATTAATGCTTTGAAGTAAATCAATTTAGCTAACAGTAAGCAATTCCTAGGCGAGAACAGTGGCCCCTATTCTCAAGCTATGCTTGCTGGCAGCAACTCATCAACGAGACTAAATCCTTAAGCAGAGATCATGCAGCTTTGTCAGAAGTATATAGCACACACCTTGTTGGTCGTCTTAATCAAGTGATGGAAGATGTTCAACGGATATACAAACGTGTGAGTATATGTCAATAAATATTATTGGAAATATTAAAAATATACTTACAATATATTTTTTATAATTAAAAAATATATATAAAAGAATGTTCAAAAATAAATGAATATTTGAGAAATTGAAATTATTAAAGACTGATTTTATCATTTTTTGATTAATTCACTTTTAATTATATTTATTGTTTTAAAAAAAAACAGTTCTGGATTTAATTTAATACTTTTTATTACTTTTTATAAGTTTTATAAGTTACTGCTGAATCCAATCCAAAATCAAAATATAAGATGCGCGTAATCAGAATCATTAAAAATAATAGTCGAATGATTGATTTCAGTGCCGTGAAATAGGTTATGAGACGCACGAGGAAATTCTTCGAGTATTGGATGAACTGCATACCACGATGAAAACGTATCAGACATACCAGACCGGGTCACGGCAAGCGGAAACGAAGCTTCGCGTCGCGGAACAGCAGCGTAGCAAGCTCGAGGTAGCAAATGCTCCTCCAGAGAAACTCGCGCGCAGCAAAAAATATAAACTCATGGAAAAGGAAGTGAACAAGGTGGGCTAAAATAAAGACCGGATATCCGAGAGTATATTCGCCCATATTTTTCAATTTTATTTTCTGCTAAGCTTTTTTTCTCTTTCTTTCCTTTATCCCTCTTCCTTTCTCTTTTTCTCTTTTTCTCTTTTTCTTTTCCTCTGTTTCTATGACCCTGACGAGGTCGAGTATACTTCAAGACACGCTAGTATCGATTTCCATCATACTTTTCATGTTCTTTTTATGTGGAGAATACGTGAACTAAGACCTCTCAGTATGCATTCCCTAGGTGAATAAAGCACGACTTCATTCATCTCTCTGTCAAATTTCTTATCTTACCATCGATTTTAGAGAATATGTTTTATCATATAGTTTATATGTTTGTTCTTTTGATGAATGTTTTTAGATAATTTTTAAAGAAATACAAATAGAATAATTATAATATATAATGTAATAATTGAAATTTTTGCAATATTGATTAAACTTATGTATACTTTTTATTTTGTTCAGAGGAAAGTTAAATATCAAGAGGCGAAGCTGAAAGCGTTGAAAGCAAGAAACGAGTACATTTTATGTCTTGAAGCATCCAATACGACAATACATAAGTATTTCGTGGATGATCTTTCGGATCTTATCGATGTAAGTTATAAAAGAATAATTTCTCTATATTATATAAAATATTCTTTATAATAAAAATATTTAATCAAAATTCAATTTCAAAATATCAAAGTTTAAAATATTTAATTATAAAAAGATACTTTATTATATTTACTTCATTTTTGAAAGAATATCAAGAAATAAAAAGTTGAAAAAAAATATATATATAATTAAGTCAAAAAGAAATTGAAGAAAGAAATATAGTTTTAAATTTTTAATTTTATCTTAATATCATACTAAATATCGCAATGATAGAAAAATAATAATTCTGAATTTCTACTTTGCTTGAATAAATAAATTAAATAATATTTTTATAATATTTTATTTTAAAATAATATCACACAACGATTCATTATTAATACATATTATATATATATACTCGTAACAATCTATTTAATGATAGAAACTAATAAGAAAATTAGTATTATATCAAATGTTGGTACAATCAGATTACCGATATAAATTTTTGCCAACAATATAAAATTTTGTAACAATTATTACAGAATATATTTACCAAGCAAAAAAGAATTTTCGTTACTCTCACGCTATTGTATATTTATTGTTCTGCACTGTTTATTACAACAATGAAAAAAAAGCTTTTTAACATGAAAAATGATCGAATGTATATTTGTGAACTACAAGTCGATTTAAAAGAGCACAATATAGGCTTCTTGATACCATATACGTTACTCGATAATAGGTTACTGAATCGGTTAACTCTAAAAATATTCTAAAAATTCTCTATTAAAAATTAATTATTTGTAATCTCGGCTTTCTTAATTATTTTCAAAAAATTGTTCAATAAGTGTTAGTTTTTATTAAAAATATGTATCTTTATAATAATTATAAATAAATAAGAAATTAATCAGAATTTATTATTATGTATTTCAAAAAGAAATGATTAATTTTTGTATATTTTATTTAAAAAAATCAATATTTTCACATTTTCTCTTGTGTGAAGATAATTGTATAATTTAATTTTTTCAGTGTATGGATTTCGGTTTTCACAATTGTATCGCCAGAGCTTTGCTGATGCATTGTAGCGCAGAGGAAGGTAGACAACGTTCACTACAATCTGGTGCTGAACAATTGGCTGCTTGTGTTGGTGCTCTAGACTCGAGGGCGGATAAACAAAGATTTCTGGAATCTCATCATGCTGCTTTCATGATTCCTAAGAAGTTCGAATTTCAAGGACAACGAGGGGATGAGGTACTCGAAGTATGTTATATAAATTGTTATATAAATTATTCCAATTTTTAATCATCATTGAATCATAAACAATTTGAATCATAATAATAAAAATGTATATCATAAATAATATATTATTAAAAGTATTAAATATTTAATATATCTATAATCACAAAAGATATTATTTAGCATAAATATAAATATAAAATGTATGAAGTAATAAAAATTTATCTATTAAAAAGGAACTTAAAAATCATTGTAATCATTTATATTAAATTTATGTATTATATAGATATATATGTTATATGTTATATAGATATATAGATGTAAATTCTAAATAGAAATTTTAACACAAACTACAAAAAAGTAATAATTTCTTATATTTTAGTATTTTATATTTTGTTATATTTCATAACAAAAAATGAAAAAAAAAAGAAAATGATATACAGTTTCTTCCATTATATTCTTCTTTCATATTCAAGACTTTGATATTAATAAATATTATTAATAATATTATATTAATAATATTATTAAATATATATATATTTATATAATATATATATTTTTTTTATAGACTCCCGAACCGGAACTTCAAAAATTGTTGCATGCTGAGATGGAACAACGATTGGCTCAATTACAACAAAGATTAACTTCCTTGAGAACAGAATCTGAAGAAGTTTGGAAAACATTGGAAACAGCAGAAGCTAGTCTATTGGAAATGTTAACTGCAAAAGACTACGATTGTTCAAGATATTTTGGAGAGAACGCTGTTCCCACTTCCAGACCACCGGAAACCGTGCAAATCAAACTTAGAGCCGACAGACAGGAAACTGAAGAATTCTACCTCACGGTAACTTTGATTCAATTAATAAATATATATAATTATTAAGTTTAAGCAGTTAAAATATGAAAATAATTTTATATATTAAATGTTATATTTACTGAAAATTACTATGTAATTATCCGCGAATATATAATTTAATTAATTAATATTAATTTTATTAAAGTTAATAAGATATTTTAGAATAATATATTAATATAGAATAAAATATTATTTCAACTTAATATATTTATTATAATTTAACTTATAATATTACAATTTAATATTATATAATATATTACTTTACTTTCTTTTTTACATCATATTAATAACATCATCATTTGACATTAAATGAAAATTTAAAAAATTTAATATTAGATAAATTTTTTGAGATAAATAAATAAATAAATAAATACATATATAAATTTAATTAAGATAATTTTTATCTTGTTATCTTGTTATCAATGTATTAAAAAACATATAATGCTTAATAATATTTATTTCAAAGAAATATCAATTATAACATCAATTTTTATTGATATTTTACAGAAATTCAGGGAATATCTTCTTGGAACCTCAAGAATAGCTAGGTTAGATGCAAAGCAAGAATACATTCGGCAGAGCCTATTGGATGGTTCTACTGCTAGCCCAAATCCATCAATATCAACAACGAAACAAAAACAAGCTCGAAGAAAACGAATTGGTAGATTGCAAATGAATGGTCAACCAAAATTATTTGGTGGCTCATTAGAAGAATATTTAGAAAGCACGAATCAAGAAATACCTTTAATCATGAAAAGCTGTATCAGAGTGATCAATCTGTATGGTCTTCATCATCAAGGTATTTTTCGAGTCTCTGGCTCCCAGGTAGAAATTAATAATTTCCGAGAATGGTTTGAGAGAGGAGAAGATCCATTGGCTGATGTCACAGATGCATCAGATATAAACAGTGTTGCTGGTGTATTGAAGCTCTATTTGAGAGAATTGAGAGAACCATTGTTTCCTATTATTTATTTTGAACATTTAATGGAACTAGCGCAATTAGAATCAAAGCAAGAATTCGTTAACAAGATGAAAGAATTGATTTCCAGTCTTCCAAGACCAGTTGTCATAGTAATGCGATACCTATTTGCTTTTCTCAATCAGTAAGTATATTATTAATTTTTAATTAAAATTTATAATAAAAATATAATATAATATAAAATATAAAATAAAGATTAAAATAAAAATTAAGATTTTAAAAAGCATTATTTGTTTATATCTAATTTGTTTTTGAATCCATTTTGTTATAATTATTTTTATATTTTTTCATATAGCATTTTACATTACTCCAAAATAAATTAATTTTTTTTTTTTAATTCTGTTAATAGTCTTTCAGAATTTTCGGATGAAAATATGATGGATCCATATAATTTGGCAATTTGTTTTGGTCCCACATTAGTACCTGTTCCAGAAGATAAGGATCAAGTACAATATCAAAATCAAGTAAATGAACTTATCAAGAATATTATCACATTCTGCGAAGAAATATTTCCAGAAGACATTGGAGGTACTCAATATGAAAAATACATCAGTAGAGAACCTGATGACGTGTAAGTATGCATATCATATTAAAATGAAAATTCTGTTTATTTTATATACTCAATTTATAATTTTTTATCAAAATAAATTTTTAATGCAGAGATGTAGGAGACTCGCCGACAGATCAAGCCCAGGAAGATATGGATTCTGAAGTGTATCCATCCGAGGATGGTGAGTAAAGTCAGATATAGTTGATTAGTTGTCCGGAATCCAACAAAACGCGATCTACGTTCGTTTTATATATTCCCAGAATCAGAAAACCTTGAAGCCACAGCGCAATTCGATTTCAATGCAAGATCCGAAAGAGAGTTAAGCTTCAAAAAGGGAGATACCTTGACTCTATACACACAAGTCAGTAATGACTGGTGGCGAGGTGCCTTGGCCGGTAGAGAGGGGCTTATTCCCGATAAATATATAATGATCAAAATAAAGTAAGTGAGACTTAATCACGCAGTGGTGAATTATTTCCTTCGAGAATGCCTTCTATTGAATTTAGTGGCTAAATTTATTAAATCCAGAGGGAACGAAATTCGGATGAATTCAATTGTGCTTGCTTTTTAAAAGGAAAAGCTTCTTTAGGTTACTCTGTTAGAAATGCTTGTTTATTTTAGTTTTCGCGAATGAATCTTTTTTCTTTTTTAATCCTTTCCATGTTACTTAATTTTATCTTATATCTTGAATTTGTTATTATTGAATTGACGTTTATGAAAATATTCGGGATATGGATGATTTCTCTTCAAAATAGGATATTTCTTATGGAAAGAATTAAACATGGAGTAAGAAAGTATAGAGTTATAATTAATTTTAATGTGTTAAGAAAATTTTTCTGTCATTCATTTCATTAATTTCAATTTCATCTTTACATGAAAATTTAATTTAAATATTTAGAAAAAATATAATTTAAAAAATTTAATTGAATCATTTAATTTAAGAAAATTTTGAATAATTTAATTTACAAAGATATATATTAGGCATAAATATAAATATAAATATTTACTATATTCCTTGATACTTCAAATAAAATTTGTATTATTACTATTCATTAGCATTTTTCTAAAAGAGAAAATAATAATAAAAATATTCAATAAGTATTCCTCTTATATGCTTACTAACACATTTCTAAATATTCACAAATATTATTAAGTAAGTAATATGTCATAAAGTAATAAAATAATATTCTATTCCATTCTACTTAACAGGATTAATATTCAACATATTCTATAAACTAATGTTGAAATGATTTCATTTGTTTCATGCAATGTACATACATATTTAACATTAACAGTATTTTTATTTAAATTATAATAATACCATTGACAAATTAAATATTCATTAATAATCTTCAAGATAATAATATGTTAAAAATTCAGAAAATTATGATTATCAATGTTTTTTATATAAACTAATATTGCGGAAGAAGTTTTCTAATACTATTATTATAAAATTTAAATCAATATTTATTATATTACAATTTGTTGCTTAATTCTTGAAGACATAAAGCTAAAGCTTCTTCATAAATCTAGGACTGCTTATCATGCAAATAAATCTTATTTTTTTTTATATAATATCATTTTATAAAGGCCTCTATTCTTTGTTTAGGGACGAAGAACGTGAAAAAGAACTCCTGAAATCATCCAGCGAAGAATCAATGCGAAGAAGGACTTCTAGCTCTGCCGACAGTGTTCTTTCAAGTAACAATTCACCACTGATGGGACCATCTGGAAATCCAAATACTTGGCCTCCTGGTACTACATCTGATATGCAATCTACCACGATTGCAACAGAAAATAGCAGTAACAGCGGTGTTATCCCAGCAGTCGTGACAAATGTCCCTTGCATCTCGTCAACACAACCAATCATCAGTCGAGAGGTACTGGAAACTACTGTTTAGTATAATTATTCGATTTTTTTCTTTTCATACATTCGTTTGCTTGTACATTTTCTATAATGCACTCGGAAGATTTTGAACTTTTATGCACAAGTGCATGGCTATTGTGCTATAATCTGTTTTCCTTAATGCAGTAGCAGCGAAGGAATGCACATTGCCGTTTTAAAAATGCAGATTTATTGCCTGTACATCACATACATCTAGAAAGCAGCATTGCTTTTCGTAAAACCACAATCTGTTATAAAATTTCTTATTTATTTAAATAGAAATACATGAAAATAATAATCATATGTTAATTCAAAAAATGAAAATTTTATACATAAAAATTAGAATCGTTATAATTTCTTCTTTATTTAACAAGTATTTTTTGATTTTTTTTTATTATTAATCTTGTTGGGTTCATTTGATTGTAAACTTAAAATAGAAAACGTGAACTTAAGATTATGTTAAGTTTAATTTACTTCGAAATCTCAATTAGTTGTAATTATTTGTACAATATATTTGTAAATAAAATAGAAATATATACATGTTTGTTGCTGCATGTGCCTTGGTCTCTTTGTCTTGTGTCGCCTATGTCCTTTTTTGTTGTCTTGCGTCATTTTTTTCTTTTTTGTAATGATTACGACTTTCAATGTTAATAGTTGGGATGGTTTTTCCAGATATACGTTTAGTCAGCCTTTAGTTGACAAGAAAAGTTTCACGTACATAGGTAGTGGGCGAAACGGACTAAAAACTGTTCGATAAAACTGCTGCCAAGTGTCGTGTGGTTCTGTCGTTTGTGTTTTTCGTTTCGTTGAAGGAGTGCCTCTGTTTAACAGTTCAGTTGGTTTGTGAATCCTAGCATTCTGTAAAACAATTTCAGTCTATAGATGAAACCAAAATGGAATGCTACTCGCAGAGTCTACTTATCCAGCGGATATTCTTTTGGCTTTAGGTGAGTAAACAAAGTGTCTCACCCTCAGATCAATTAATAATTAATTTTGTCGTTGACATCTGTAGACAGATAGGTATCAATACAAGGCTGTTGTCATGTTTACATGTTTGCCTGCTTGTATTCATCCTACTCATAGTCAGTTTTACGAGCAGTTTTTAATTCTATTTTGGTATGAATATTGATCTTATGCACTTCTTTTTATTCATTTCTTTATTTTCATATTAATGCATGCAGAAAGATTCACTTTAATCATATTATATCTTATAATATCTTATACTCTTGTATACATGTTTGAATGTTGCAAATTATTTTAGATAAATCTAAGAAGTATTCTAGATTAGAAGGTTTAATAATTAATTTTTTTTTGTGAAATATAAAAATAAAGAAGAAAAAAAATAAAAAAATAATAAAATTGAATTTAAGGTGTTTGAAAATTGAAATTTTATAAAATATTTTATATCTTTATCTTAACTATTCGAATGATTACATTTATATAAATTAAAAAATTATCTAATTTACATAATAGAAAATCAATTTGTGTCATTTATTAAAAACATCAAAAATTAATGAATTATTTTTATATATGATTGAAATTTGAAATTTTATTTTAGTAAATAATGTTAGTAAAAATAAAAAAATATAAATTAATAACTAAACAATTGTTATATAATAATAATTAAATTCATTGTTATTTATTTAATAATCACTTTAAAAATAAAAAATTCATTTAAATGAAAAATGAAAATGATCATCTAGGAGATCTAGAAAACAACATTATTATTTATATTATAATTTTACTTTTTTTTAATGTACCAATTATTTTAATAAATAAAAAATTTTCTGTGTTAAATTAATAATTTATATTTAGCATTTAATCAATTACTATTTTATTATATTGATAAATACATTTTGTTATAAATATATTTTTATTATAGGTTCTTATAAATTATTAAATATAAATTATGTGTTATAAAAAAAATAACAGTTTTTGACAAAATTCCAGGGCACTACATAGCAATAACAACACAGAAAATAATTTACATTTCATTGCAACAAACATGGTTGGTAATTTGGAAAATATTACTAGTTCTTTATTTACTGTAACAAAACATTTCATCATAAATGCTTTCTTAAAACGTCTATGTTACAATTTATAATTATTTCACACAATCAAACTACTTGCAGGAATGCGCATCTCGAATGGCAAAAGTATCAACACCTGAAAAAGAAAAACATATCTTCGTTACCGATCATCGTACAGATCCTATGTCAGTAATTATCACTAATAACACGGAGAATGAGAAGATATTAGAATTTAGTGAATCGTCACAACAACAACGTAACGAAGATAGCGAAGAAACAGAACGTATTTCTTTGATGAGCTTGGATAGTGGAACAAAGCGTGGAACAAGCAGGAAACAACATTGGAAATCTCAGAGTATGGGCGATACTGTACAACAAACAACGAATTCTGTCCAAACTAGCAACATTATCTCTCAAGAGGAGGAACCGCAGGAACAACCGACGTTTTCAGCAAATCGAGAACTTTGGCAGAGACGAGCAACATCGCAGACACAATTGAATCCACCTGCACCTCCAAATCATAAAATTTTTCGCACTTCTCAAGAATTCCGTGAAATGCGTCAAAAACATACACCAGATCTTGTGATGGATCTGCCGTTATCTGCACAAGATGCAAGCAAAAAATCAGCTTCATCAAGCAGTCTAAGCAGTTCTGATGAAGAAACTCCCACACAGCCATCTCGTACCGAAGCAGCCACATCGCCAACAGGGGGACCCGAATCTCCTGATATGAGTACAGCCGCAGAAAGATTTGCCAAACAAAATCAATGCACTTTAAAAAAGAATACTAAGTCCAATCCAGATGCATCAAAATTGAAACGTATAGAAACCGAGCATGATCCCGAACAAGAATCCGAAGAAATCGTTAGGTCGACTAGTTCTAATCAGATTTCAGATTCGATGTCCTTAAGATCACCCCTTCCACCACGTTCAACGCCTAAGATAGCGGCAAAATTTGCAGATATGCACTTAACAGGTGGTAGTCAGGTATCTTCGTTCAAGCCACAAATAAAAGTGAAGCCAACGATCCTTAGAAAACCAGTGTTACCGTTCCCACATCCTCATATGAGTCCCGAGCTCGCAAGGAAAATTGAAAAGCAAGCGCAAAGCACTGAACAAACCAATTAATTGCTATTCAGGGTATCATAAAGAACAAGAGAGTTTTTAGCAGCGAAGAAATATTTATTTTTTACGATCCATGCGTGTTTGAGTAAGATTTCCAGACGCATAGATTTGCCACTGACTTTCCATTGACCAGTTACTCCGCCCAAATCGTAAGGATACGAAGTGTGTTAGTTACTGTACCCAAAAATAAAGGAAAGCCGAACAGCATCACTCCTTAATATGAAACGAAACATACGAATTTAGTTGCATATGAAAGGTTTGATGCTATTCTCGGGCCGAGTTTATTTTTTCTACGACTATTTTCCATTTTCGCATAATTTTTTTACCAAATGACCCGCGAAACGATGTTTCTAGTCATCGAACGACGATTGAAAAACGATGCGAGAAATGTATGAGCGAGAAAATACATCGAAAAAACATTTAAAAAAAAAAAAAAATAATTTCGAGGTTAAGCAATTTTTCGTCGAGAGAGAGAGAGAGAGAGAGAGAGAGAGAGAGCGAACGAGAGAGAGAGAGAGAGAGAGAGCGAACGAGAGAGAATAAAAACAAAATGATTTTGTACGTTGGACGATTTGTAATTTATTGCAAGGAATATTTCTTCTCAACATGTTATCAGTCTAATGTTTGCAACAAACAAGTTTGATGTTCCTTTAAAAACGCACGCGAGTAAGTATGAGTTTAAAACAAAACAAAAAAAAAAGTCTTTCCCAGAAGTTCGTTTTTGAGAATGAGTGAGATGGTTTTGGGATTTGAATTCCGAGTTATTATTGCTATAATTATTATTTTTATTATTATTATTATTATNTCATTATTAAACGTTATTAACATGACACGAACGTCTTTAATAATAATAATATGACAATGATGTTCGATATATTCACGAATAATAAGTGTACAATAATACACGAGTATTTAATGGTTCGACGTCAGTTCTAGATATATACCAATAATTCTACTATGAAAAAAGAATTTAACGAAATCGGAAGAAAATGATATAACATCTCAAGGTATTCATATTCTTCATTCCTATAATCATTAAAAAAAAAAAAAACATTGTACTCGTTTATTAAATAATATGCATACAGTATACATGATACTATGTGCAAGTATTTTACAAATTATACTTTGAGTGGAAAAATCATTCGAAACGTACTGTAAACCATCACAATCCGCTAAGTAACGAATGATAATGCGAATCAGTTAAGATTGACTATCTAATACTCTTTATAGTTACTGATTAAATATTAGTACGAAATATTATCACATTATACCCACCGCAATAAGAAAATACCAAAGCCAATGGATTATTGCCTTTTTTCCGACTGTACCATAATATTTGTTGAGTGAACATGACGCCAGATCTTCTGTTTTCTAACGATGCGTTCGTTTTTTTATATAGTTCACGGTGAGAGTTGTGCTTTTACAATCGTTTTTTCTATAACTATTCTCAAGCTAAATTGTTAGTTTCATGAGAATGCAGTATAATTTAATGTATAATTTAATGTTGTTATATATTTATATCAATGTGACCCTTTGTCCTATACTGAAGCCTAATTTGATTATTTCGATTACGGTTACTGATATTAACTTCAATAAAAGAACTTACAGGCTGTATTGACCGTTTGTGCAACAAACCTAATTATATTTCTAAGTTTAACTTATATAGATTTTATGGTAAGTAAATTTTTAATATTCTTTTTTATTTGGTTGTTATTTATTTTGAAAATAATTCGATGAATTGATAAATTAAATTGAATTGTGATTATATTTTATAAACTTGTGTATATATATATATATATATATATATATATATA